GTGTGAGAAATATTTCCTACAAAAAGTAGTTTGTACAATCTGTCAAGTTTTAACAATATTAATTTTTATTTTTGTGAATGCAGAATGATCATCTATAACCATCTATGCCTAACCTTATGCAAAATGTGTCCTAATTGAAAAATAAAATTTTGTTTCAAAATAGAATATATTATGATCATATTTAAATATAATATATCATAGACTGACAAATCAATTCCGTTCAGAATCGTTTTTTGTATACAATGATACCTATCATTACATTCAAATTTAACCTACCCTAGTCAGAGGTCCACCCCACCCCTAATGTACAGCAGAGCGACATCCACTTACCCGCTTTTTAAGGTTATATAGGGCATATTGATATTATGATAAATGATAATAAATAATAATATTAGTCCGTGACTCCGTGTTAGCTGTTACTAGTTACTGCGTCTTGCTAGTTACTATAATCATAATTAGTAATAAATAAGAATGATCTTCAATTACTCGCTTTTTTTTTTTGAAGTGTATAAAAAAATTTTAGGTGCCTGAAAACTTGAAAATTTAATATAAGATTTCTTATAAGTCGTTCTTATCGTAGTTAAAAAAAATCAATTGGGTTTTTCTATTTTGTATTATTGATATTTGCATTCAGCCACCATATACTATGGAAAGGTGTAGTGCGGGGAAGACTAATTTTAATTACAACAGTCACAATATTTAATTTACTGATATTATTCGGTTATTATTAACATTTTGTCACTTTATTTTGGTCATACCTATACTACATAGGATATTGATAATACGCACAGTATAAAATGTGATGACTTTCGTTCAACGCATAGTTCGTAATAATATTATGTCTATGATAAAAAGCATATTTTTTATAAGACTATAATAGTTACTCGTAGATATATAAATGAGCCCTAGGCGTACCTATATATTATACTGCATTACAATATGCATGGTAATACAATTTTAGGCCGTTTTAATAATAATTACAGGTAATTGATTTGAAAAATGGAAAAACTGTTTTGTCATTCAATTAAAATATACACAAGTATAGTACATAATAGTATGCGCATAGGACGGTTTTGGTCGTGTTTGGGGGGGGGGGTACAAAATTTAATTCTAGTTGTACAAAATTGTACAAAAAAAGTGCATAATACTGTACAGTTTAAAATTGAATTATTTAGATTTTCGACATTGGCAGTGCTGGGGAAACGTTTCTCCAGCGGGGGGGGTGTACAAAATTTAATTTTAGTTGTACAAAATTGTACAAAAAAAAGTACATAATACAGTCGATGTTTGATATTAAAATTCGAAAGTGGCAGTGCTGGCGAAACGCACCTGAAAAATCTTCTGGTTCAACTCTGCAAGGTTTTCATCATCGTTTATTCGTTTCTTATTTCTCCGCTTAAAATTCCAACAATTTTTTTTATTTGTGATAATCCAGGATTTTTGATAATACTTCTGATAGTTTAATTTAGCAAATTTAATACTTCGTCCTTTTTCACTGAATTTATTTTCAAAATTTTGAATAAATTCCTTTTCCAAGATTAACACCCGATTTTTCTAGACTCGTGATGGTGTCTGTTATGACTTGGAAATTTGATAATATTATCGAATGTTCATTTATGATCGAGTTGTCATTAGATAATTGTTGTGCATTTTGATTAGACTTAGTATCATTTGAGTTAAAGTGACTATTTGTTTGAAAAATTGTCTTTTCTAAATTTTCAACAGTTAAAACTATCGGTTTTGTTGAATTTTCGGAAGATAGAGAGTCGATTATTACACTTGTTTTTATTCGGTCGAATTATATTTGTCAGGAATGTCGGCAATAATTTCAATAATTGAATTTTTCAATTTTTATTATATCTTGTAATTATTTTCATATGAATAAATTCATGTATCATGTGTATATCTTATTTTAGCCCCACAGTCTATCAATGAGACTGCACTCAGTATTCATTATAAGAAATCTAAATAAAATTGTGTTATATCAATTCATTGGATATATAGTAACTAACAGGTTTTAAAAATTTTAAATTTAAATTATAAAAATTTAGTTATACCAACTGTCATAAAAAGTAAAAGTTTCATAATTAGGTACCTATATTATATAAAAGTTGTTCTCTACATTTTATATACTTTCTATTGGATAATGGTAAAATATACTTTTATATAATTTATATAATTTTTTCATACAAATAGCATTTGATTATAGATGTTAAAATAATAATTTATGGCTCATAATGATATGAGAAATAAGAGGAAATAATAATAATATCGTAAAAGAGTACGAATATACAAAATAAAAATGTAGATATCTTGGTACGAATTTAACTTTTGAACAAAAATGATGAAACACTTAATGGTATCAATTGTTATAACTTTATAAGTTATTTTATATTAGTTATGCTATAGTGTAAAAGTGTAATATTTATATAGTTAATACCTAATTTTTCAAATCAACTTAAAACAACTGAGTTGTTTACCCGCTAGTCCTTAAAAATTAGAAATTGGGGATTATTTCTGCTATACAATTTAAATTGAGTAAGTAACCATTATTATGTTTAAATAATAAGCCTTAGAAGTAATTATCTATTGATTTATTCTTATGACGTAAACGTAACAATGTATGCTAGCATTAAATCAAATAGCCTTCGTATTAGATAACAGATTAAATTATTAACTAACATAAATAAACATTTTATGACTTAAGCAAAACATTACATTTACCATTTACCTAATTAAAATGTTAATACATCCAGGGAATCTAAGCTCTCTCTAACTGCCTCAGAAGTTAGGTACTTTGATGAAGTTCTTTCAATCGCCGTCGCGTTGTTATACCCAAAATATTTATTTGATGAATGAAAAATTATTAGAATATTATAGTATTTAGTCGTCTGAGTGTCTTCAACACGAAATAACCAAGCAAATTTACTAAAAGCGACTTGATGTAAAAATAAAATGTCTGTAAGTAATCCATAATAGCCAATATAGAAATAACTAATATATCATAGTAATAATAACAGTTAAATACAATAGTCAATAGTAGGTAGGTATACATTTTTTATGTCCCAAAATTAATTAAAATCAATGAAATATACATAACTAACAAAATTAAACATATAGCCATATAGGTAACATAGGTTATGTAACGTCATAAAAGTATCATAAATTATAGTTTAAATGATTGTAATGAAAAATGTATTATAAGAATATCTTCAACTGTATTATTATGTGAGTGTTGTGAGTCATTTTTAGATTTTATAATATTACCTACTTACCTTACGTATTTCTAGTCTCCGGAGTTGATTATAATTATAATTGGGTTCAAATACAKGATACTATTCGTGGCCCTAGATCGCATTTGCTTATAAACAACATTTGAAAGTATGTAGTATGTACCTTCTAAAGAACATCCCATCCCATTCATAATTTTTAATCTTCAATATGTTATCCATTGTATTTGTATACATATATATATATATTAATAATTTATGTAGTAATAAAATATTTATCTAGTTTTTTCCTTGATGAATACTAGGTACAAGGTACATAATATTATGATTATATTATTCAAAGTTTCAAAATGAGATAAAWGTTACCAACAACTKTAGGYCWCACAATTGGAATTATTTTTTACATTTAAACTTTGAAAAAACGAACCGCGTCAAATATGTGTGAAACTGTGAACAGACTAATTCAAAACAATGTGTTTAGATCATTCGGGCGGTCGAATCGCTCGCAGTTTTTTCAACCGTGACTGTTTCTGCGGCTAAACTGCGAAAGTGTGAACGCGTATCAGGCGGTTGCATTTAAAATCAAACAATTTGAATTTGTTAGGCGGTTCAACCGCTGCGGCTCAGCCGCCATTTGTCGCCCTATCATTTCTAATTTCCTATTCTAGGAAATGGATATGTAATATACAATATCAATAATAATTATATTTTATTTATTATTTAATAATTTATAAATTAACTGGACTTGAATTTGATTAAAAGTAACTCGTTATTTATTAAGTTTATATCAATGAAAATAAGTTTGGTTAAAAATTAAGTTAATGAAAATTAAATTTAAAAAAGTTAAGTAAATAAGTAAAAATTACCTTTAACCTTTTTAACTCGTTTATGCCCAGGCTTGAATATACCTATATAGGTATATATATACTAATAGCTATCCAGGGGTTAAAATGGCAATGGGTAGGTACTTACTTGTGATTCATATTTTATTTTGAGAATTTCATATAATGTTTTCCCATATTCATTAATTTTTCGAACCAAAAACATTTTTTTTTTAAATATTAATTGCTTTTATTGATTAGTTTGACTAGTTAAGACTTAGTTTGATTACTTAAAAAATGCATGTCATATAAAATCATAATACCTATGTCTTACGCATATGGTGAAATTATTTTTGTTTATATCTTTGGCACTTTTGTAGTTATGTAATCAATTATATAAGGTACATATCTATATTAAATTGTTTATAACATCTACCTCTGTGCCATATAGTCATTAGAACGGACTGTAGGTGAGGAGGCTCTTGGAGAACCGGTCCCGCACTGACCTGTTTTTTTTTTTAAATGAGTTAACTTTTATTTAATTCTGTTGGCAGGTATACATCATATAATATCATACACATATAAAATCTAATAATCTCCATACATATTTGCTTTGACATTACATGAATTGTTCATAAATCATAATAGTTTGATATCCACGATATTATAATATAGTCTTTGATTGGATTTTTTTTTAAATAAAAACCCAGTTTAAGATGAACAATTTTTTATGATTTAATTTCTAACAACGAATACCTATTAAAGTTATTAATATGTACCAAAGGCTAAACCCAACCGGCTTAGTATTAGGTATAACCTAATCAAAACGACCAACGAACGCACTTATATATAGTATCTTCGTTTCGACTACCGTCGTCGTCGTTCGTCATTGGCGTAGTCGATGGGCGACGGCAAATCATGGTCACATTATCTAGAATGTGGCACGGTGTTGTCGTCGGCCGATATCCGTGGTTCGTCTCATACTTTCATTGCCAGTCGAACGATGGATCGCAAAACGTGAATAGTGACGTATAGTGTTGACCGAATATTGGAAATCGTAATCATGACGTTTATCGTGTCTTGATAATTGCGTTATTGTATAATAGTACACTTATTAAGACACCTTATATTATTGTATAACATTATACACCCGTATATCAGTCTTCGACGCAGATTGTTTTTGGAATTCGCTTGGAAATAATTGAAAATGCTCGACACGTATACCGTAAGTATTTGTAGCGGTTGCGTTTTCTATGTTTGATTTTTGCTTAATATTCTATTACTAAGGGTTGAAAAGCCCTGTCGTAAATTCATAATAAATATAAATTTTAATTAATAAATAAAAAAAACATTCAAGTTCTATAGACTCTACTCAGCGCTAATTCCCAGTCAAGTGTCACCGATGGGTGATTTCTTAATAGCAAATATTAATGCTACTATTATAATATCATATATACAATACATTGTGCTATATTGTACAGACTGTGTATTTCAAGTTGTAAAAAAATAAAAAAATAAAAATAATAAATAAATGGTGTAGTAAAAAAATTATAAACAATAATATGCTGTAATACTTTTTGGCATTTCTGAATTAAATCAAAAATTATTTTCAAATATAAATTTGAATAATAATAAAAAAAAATCGTAATTTCGAACAATAAATCTATTGTAATTCATTGTACACAACTTTGATATTTATATAGTAATGTGAATCGATAACTGAGTATTTAAACTTAAAAGTGTACGAGTTTTGTGTTGTGAGGTCCTACTTCAGAAGACACTGGCAAAAGTACAAGGTAACATTTATAAGAGTAGAACAACGAAGAAATATAGAAAAAATATAATTGTAACATTAGTGGAAATTGTACAAGTTCTATTTAATTTTTGGATTATACGGTGTAATACAAATTATATTTTTAAGCAGTTGTAAAATATTCACATATATTATTTTTAATTAGTTTTGACAACAATTTAAGCATTTTAATATTTGAAATTAAATAATAATATTGATTATATCGTTTAATCTTACTCAAATAATTCCTATAATCATTATGATCCCCTCCGATCCCTGGAAATGTTATATAACTCAAAGAAATTCAACCTTCAAGATTCAGATAAAGTTTTATAACCAGTTCTAAGGCGTATTTTATAATTTTAAATTTACCAATCTAACTGTAATAAATATTGTATCAAAACTTTCATATTTGTGATTTTGTATGTTTAAATGTTGCATTAAAATGATAATAATATGTCAAAAATCAGGGAATTTATATATAAATTAAACCATGAAGAATCAAATAAAAATTGTATATTTTTAAYATTTTTTCAATGTAATTTTATAAGAGATAAATTGCAGTGTGAATTTTGTTTGGTAATATGTACTTAATTGTTAATGTCTTTTCTTCTCCTTGATAGAAAAATGTGTATCAAAAACTGAGTAGGAAAAAAACCTACGTGGAAGAAACTACGGGAGTCGAAAAAGACAAATTTAAACGAGTGTTAAATGTCGTGGATTTGACCGCTTTGGGCACCGGTTCCACGTTAGGATGTGGTGTTTATGTGTTGGCTGGAACAGTAGCAAAGTCAGTTGCCGGCCCAGCCGTTGTATTGTCCTTCATTTTGGCTGCGACCGTTTCTTCGTTATCAGGTAGGTGTTCAAGTACATAATTAAATTAATTGCCGTAGCTTACTTAACTTTTGATCGTGAGCTTTCATAGATTGCGGGTGTTTCGTCATAGAATGATTGATTTGATTTGGGAAATTAARAAATAGCAAGCATATTTTATTGATTATTGTATCTGTCGAATAGGTATCGATTGGCGATGGTTGAAGGTTGAGGACAGTAATGCTGCCACAGAGGTTTTTTTTTGTAAGGTGCAGCAGGGCACTATAATTGTGCAGTAGAAAATATAAAATGGGCGGATAATTTAACGAAAATGTACATTTGAGAAATGTATAAAATATTAATAATAATTCACTTTGCGGCATMAGCAAAAATATATAATATAAAAATACCAAGTTATTAACTTTATACTTATTAACTGGATAGTAGAGATGTTTTTGTTTATTTATAACTTTATAAATCGATTGTATAATATTATTGGTGATCGTCACCAATTATTTTTGACTATGCATTGTTTCTAAAATTTCTTTAAGTATTTCTTTATTTTTTTATTTTATTTTTTTTTTGAGGGAGAAAGAGTAAAATACAAAAATTACATCGTACAAATAGAATAAATCCTCACAATAAAGCCTAGTGCTTCTCGAACCTTTAAAATTGCCACCGGGACAATGATAGAACCCATTCRCACTCTTAAATAAGTTAAATACATCAATGTATCAACACAAAATTTATGCATCCTACACTTAATATACCGTATCCCTCCCAAGTAACGACGACTCATTGTATACATTTTATATTCATAAAAACCCATGAATTCATCACATGAAACATTAAGAGGACCCCACACATGTGTTGTCTCCGTYTTACAAACGTATAACATAGCAAAATCTGTTTAGCGCGGGACAACTTTTCGCCCTCAATGTTTATAATAGAATTTTCAAAATTTCACAACGCATAGGTAAGAACTTTATCTGCGTCATAGCGTCGTTATTTTTTTTGATAGCACAAACCAATAATTTTAAGTAATTTAATGAAAAAATAAAAAATAAATGTATTTTCTTAAGCTTATAACTTTAATTATATTAATGTTATCAAAAAAATAACGACGCTATGACACAGATAAAGTTCTTACCTATGCGTTGTGGAATTTTGGTAATTCTACTATAAATACAAAGGGAGTAAAGTTGATAAACCGATTTTTCTATGTTATACGTTTATAAGACGGAGATAACACAATATGCGGGTGTGGCAACTGTAATCGATACAATATTATAAAACGATTTGGACTTACAGTCCGATTTTGAAATGAAGCTTTATGTATTTCATCAAACTATTATATTATTTAATAYGCGCAATCACTGTGTAATCCACCGGGATTTAACTAATTTGAATTAAGTTCTTTTTGATCTCTAGGTGTTTGTTATGCTGAATTCGCTAGCCGGGTGCCCAAAGCTGGATCTGCATACATATACAGTTATGTGGCAGTTGGGGAATTTATTGCGTTTGTCATTGGCTGGAATTTGCTAGTGGAACACACAATCGGTTAGTTTACTTAGTCGTAAATTATGTTTTAGAATAGTACCTACATACAACTATCATACGTAATTACAAAAATTATTTATTCTAACTTGTATTTTAACTAGATTTTGTCAATATGGTTTTTGATATTTTTTTAGGTACCGCTGCTGTCGCCAAAGCGATGAGTAACTATTTAGATTCTTTACTTGGAGACCCTCAGAAAAGGTTTATGAAAAAACATTTCCCGATACACATGGATTTTTTGGGCGAATATCCGGACATCGCATCGTTTTTGTTTATTATGTGTATTGCCTGTAAGTGAATTTTATCWACTTGATACATAGAAATGTCTTATTGTAAAAAAAACTACAACGCTTTGAAGTAAAATACAATGAAACTGAGCATTTTATAGTGTATCGTGTTCATCTCTTAAACGCGGCCTGCAGGCATAACATAATATCTATTGCACTGTAAAAGGACAATGACATACAACTTATTAATAATAAATAAGTGAGTTTTAAAGTTAACAATAAAATAATATTCAACAATATTTATCTTACTTGAATTAATTATTAATTTATAGTTCATCTCTTAATTTTTTCATATACATATTTTCGACTAATTCACAATACAATCATATATTCATATAGGCAAGTGTATTGTTAAGTAGAAATTCTTATAGTATTATAAAAGTATAAAATCAAGCTTAAGTATTTGAAGCCATTGTCGTGTGTTAACTATTTCTGTAGGTCGGAATATTAGTTTTAAATATTATGTATAGTGCGGAACGWCAGTTGATGGAAGTAAACTTTATTCATTTTTATACTTATAGCACAAGTTACAAATTATTGTTGCATTATTGATCACATTATCTGTTAATTTACAGTGGTCGTGGCCTGGGGCGTTCGTAAATCATCAACTTTGAACAACATTTTTACTACATTAAATTTAGTGACCGTGTGTACGATCATTGGTAGTGGATTATATTTCGGTACGTATTTGATACCTATCAATATATATATATTAATTATATATATAAATATCATATTAAGTAATGTAAATTATGTTACTATTAGTAGGTAAAGGTAAATATTATTATAGTTGTGTTGCCTGCAAAATTCCATGATATTTTCAAAAATTTTAGTGGTTTGTCTAYAATATTAATATACCAACTCTTTAAATCCGCACTGTTAAAAAATGTAGAGATTGATTTATGTAAAAAATATCGGTATATTTACTAATAAAGTGGTAAAAATGGTAAAATAGAATCGAAGGTTTATTAATAAAATATCATCGAGATATATTTTTTAATATTAAATACGATTATTCTTTCTATATTTTGTTGTTGTATACTTGACAACATTTAAAGTTTTTTAAAACATAATATCAATAAAGAATTAAGTGGCCGGGCGGACTAAGGCGTCGGTTGCGATGCGCGCCGTCGCCGGGTCGAATCTCGGTTACGGGCGTCATCGTTCTTCGGACATTTCGCGGTGTCTGGAGAGTGAGGCCACCGTCCCTCAACCGGGTATGGCAGAAACCTACGGGTGCCCATTCATAATTCTGCCAAAAACCCGCGTGTTAAACTTACAGTACCTTCCCTACAGTTCCCCCAGTCTAATGACCTCAGTTGTCGAAGCCTTAGCACTAAAAAAAAAAAAATTTAAATAAAGAATTAAAAATGAAACTATTGTTTTTCACTAGTATATATTACAAATAACTAAATATTCATCATAGAATTAATAAATAATTTAAATTAAATTATCAAAATTAACATAGTATTTTCTTTATTTTTATATGTTTAAAAGTTAAAACACTAATATTTATTTACTTTGAATAATTACTTACCTATACATATATATATATATATATATAGGTTAGGTCAGGTTAATATAATTAAATAGTGTCGAAAATATATAAAATATGATTAGTATCATAATTATTGTGTTGGTGTTTATTATCACCAAATACATAAAATGTATACCTTTTTAACGATCCACGATAGAATTTCTTGATTGCATTTGATTAGTTAATTTACAGCACACATTTCTACAACCGAATATATATAAAAAAAATGTATATCTCTTTTGTTTGAACTTATCTATGTATTTATTTAATCATATATATGTTATAAGTTTTTGAAAATAATGATCTTTGCTGTCGATGTTATTTTTAGAGACCAATAAAAATAAAACTATGTATAGGTATAAACTATTATATATGTAACTAGGTAAATTAGAGTCGGTAGATATCTAGTTGTAAAATTGTAATTTAGCTTTAAACTGATAACTAATTTTTGATATAATAATAATAATAGTCAAACACGTTTACTAACAAATTGCAATAATTATACTATAATGGAACATTACGATTCTATAGTATTTTGACGCAGGTTTAAAGAATTTTAATAAATTAATTACAATTTTAATTTATATTTATATTAATCTTTATTTATATTATCTTGCATTTGTTTTACATTAATCACGCTTGTATTTGATTAAAAATATATATTGCCCATAGTGATTGTCACGACCTCCTTCGATTTTAATGATAATAATACCTATATTGTGTGCTACAACAAATTATAATTCCACATGACTATAATTTATTGTAAAACATCTTTCGTCGCAATCCAGCTATGTATTGGATTTTCCCAGGTTGTCGGTAAAGTCAAATAAATATTACACTTCTTTATTTTTTACTTGAAACTACTCTAGATAATGCTAAATATGATAATATCTGGCCAATTTCGAATCAAAATTCTTTCGAATTTCCGCCACTTGGTTTTTATTTCTCATTTATATATGATACTTTTCTATAATAATGTCGGTAATTTACCATTTTTATAAATACAACCACTTAACACTATTATCATGTTAGGCGCGTAATAATCAACACGTTCATCAGAGTTTCAATTTTTTTATATCATTATTATTTTATTTTATTATCCAAACATTAATGCCATACTATATTTATCAGCTATTAGAAATAATGTTTCATTTCRGGTTCGTGGTATATTGCGCGTGAACTATTCATATAGGTATTAAAAATGTATTAATTAATGGTATAGTGTTCACACGACGAATCTATAGGTTAGTAAAAATAATAATTTTTATTAATATAGGTATAAAAACATTGCATATCTTTTTAATTAAATATTTCAACATTTAAATCTTTTAAGTTTCATGCCTGTTAGTTTATAMGTTTATTCTATTTTACATTTACATAGTTTTTTYGAAAAATACTGTGTTTATAATAACGTTCTCTATATTATGTTTAACATAGGCTTTTATTTTATAAAGAAACCCATATCTTAATTTATTTTACCTATTATTTATTTGTATTTCGATGTCAAATAAATWATTAAAAATGTAACATGTTGGTATAGCATCAGTCATTATATGTTAAGTAAACAAAACTGAAAACACTAACATCACAAATATTATTTAACTTCMTTGATATGATTGATATAATATGTTTATAATATAACTTTTTACTGTTTAGGATTTTTAGTTTAAACACTTTTTTGAAACTTAATAATTACAATATGATCATGTTTATTCCTTGATTAGATTTTACAATACATGAGGCGAGAAGTGGTATATAATAATAAAAATAATAAAAAATAGGTACTATAAAATTTTACGTTAAAACAAATAAGTTTTAATCTTAAAGCACTTTAGAGTGTTTGGAATCGTACGCTATCTYAAAACTTCTAAGCATATAGTGTTTGAAAAAAATATAATATGAAAGTGGTTATTCTCAAAACTGAAAAATGATTGTGATAAAAAAAATTTCAATTTCAATAACCAGGAAAAAATAATAGTACAGTAATAATATTATAATATTTCTAATAACACTTTTCCATTCGAAATCTTTCAATTTTCTATGGTATCATGTATTCTCAAATCTTATAATCGCAGTATCAAAGTTCTATGTTACTCTTACTACATTTTTTTATTTATCTCTTATCCCATCTAAATTTATGTGTAGAAAAAAATCTAACTATAGTTGTTTGGTTGTAGCGAATATATCAAATTGGTTCATTGATAAAAGCGATATTCCGCCTGGAGTAAACGGTGGCAATGGCGGGTTCTTGCCTTTTGGCTGGACCGGGATGGTTGCAGGAGCCGCGAGGTGTTTCTACGGGTTTATCGGTTTCGATTCAATTGCTTCGACTGGTAAGCATTATTTTTTGGTGGCATGTTTTTCATACAAAACATGGAAATGTCCTTATCTATATATATTAATATATCAATCATTAATAATAACTTAACGAATCATTGCCGTTGACAAAACATTTCCATAKAAGTGCGCGTGTATATATTAATATTAGGGTTACAAGTGTGGTATGTTTTAAAAACATTTTTCATTTTGAAACATTTCAATACAATAATATATACATATAATCAATTAAAAATCATTACTGTAATTTTAAATATATTTTGTATTATACAATTCCTTTTATTTGACTATAATAGGTATTAGGTACTTATGTAAAGATGTTTTGAATTATAAGTATTTTTATATTTTCGCACAAAAAGGAATTATCTTAAGAAAATGCATTTCATGACACATTTTGAAATTTACCGCCTATATTATTATAATATACATGCGTATTTAAAATATTTCTATATTTTATAATGATTTTATCATAATAATAATTTCACTATCGATAATATTGTTTAGGAGAAGAAACGAAAAATCCTAAGAAGACCATCCCGTTGGCAATAGTCTTGACACTGCTCAACGTCACAGTCGCGTACGCGAGCGTAGCGTCGGTGTTGACGCTGATGTGGCCGTATTACGATCAAGTACTTAAATAATATTATATTTAAGGGCTTAATATAATATGATAACCATGTTTAAAATGTTCGTAAAAACAAAAAATGGACATAATTTTTCCTCAAATCTCAATAAATTAAACTCTAAAAAAGGCGGGTAAGTCGTGGATGTCGCTCTGCTGTACAGTAGGTTACAAGTGGGTTACTGTAATGGATGGAATTAAATTTGAATCCAATGATATTATATTAT